TCCCTTTGGCCTCTAACCCCAACCCTACCCTCCCTCAGCCCCAGACCTCCCCTCCCTTAACCTCTAGCCCCAACCTAGGCCCTTGCTCCCCAGTGCCCAACACCCTTTGACCCTCACCCCTACGCCATGTGTGCCCTTTAACCTCTGACTCCTACAGCCAATGCCAACACCCTCTTGTCCTGTAATCCCACCACACCCTCACACAACACCCCTTTGCCCTGAGACCCCCACCCTACCCCTGCACTCTCCAAAGCAAGGCTGCCCCTTCTAGGGAGCGAGGCTGTTACTGCTGCACAGGCAGGGGGAGCAGCCATTGGCAGTGCGTGTTTTCTCTCCTCCTTCACACTCCCTGCCTCCCCAAGTGTGTCTCACACCCCCATGGGCTGAGGCAGGAGGAGTGCAGAGCCCCCTGCTGAGCTGCCATCTTACCTGGTTGGAAAGGGGAAGGAGGCATAACCTGTTCTGCCTTCTTAGCGTCAGCTCCAGCGCCATCACCAGGAACCAGCTGCAATGTGGGCAGGGGGAATGGCCATTGGTAGCGCATGTGCTCACTCCTCCTTCCCGTCCCCATTCCTCTTCCCCCACAAGCACTTCTCACACCCCAATGGGTAGAGGTGGGGGTGGGGAAGAGAACGCGGAGCCCCAGTGGGACTGCCATCTAACCTGGGTGGGAGGGGGGAGGAGAATAGGTGGTGCCTTCTACTCCCCACCTTCTGCCACCAGGCAAAATCAGTCACCACAGTTGCCACCCCTGAAGCAAACTGCTGTGCAGCGGGGCTGAGGTGAGCCCGAACCCCCAGAGCTGCTGCCAACAGCCAGCTTCAGCTCTGGCAGCCGGCACGGCCTAGTAGTCAGCAGTTCGCGGGCCGACACCAGTCCGCAGACTGGTGGTTGGTAACTGTTGATATACACTAGTTGTTCTCAAACTTTTTCTGCTCCGGCGCCCTTTACATGCGTAAAAATTATGCGGAGCCCCAGCAGTCCACTGATTGTATGTGTTGTACCTATTGACGTTTCCAGTTCATCAGCCTCGTGGAGGCCCTGTAGATGTCTGGGCTCCGCGGAGCACAGTTTGAGAAACACAGATCTACACCATCTTGAGAGGTTATCCCATCCAGCATAGGTATTGCACCTTCTCAAGAGGCAGTAGCTAAGCTGACCAAAGATCTCTTCCATTGACCTAAGGCCATCTGCATTGGGGGTCAGTCGATTTAAATACATCCCTCAGATGTGGATTTTTCACATTCTTAAACAACATAGCCATCCCACCTCAATGAGTATTCCAACAAATCCTATAAATTAAATTATGGAATAAGAATAAATACTGCACCAGATTCCTAGGGAGGCAGTAAACAACATATTTCCTTGCCACCGGGAATCTGTTGTAAGTTAATGCTGCAGAGTCATTACAACACTTTCCTTCTGTAACCAGGGAGGTTATCTGAGTTTTTGGCATCAAGCCTCTGTAACTCTCCAACAGGGAAACATGGAGCCTCCTTTCCTGATGGAGCCATAGAAAACTATACGGAGAAGCTTGTGGAATTTTCAGAACCATGCATAAGATGCTCCCACATAAGATACCAGGATGGGCTTTTCTCTTTTTACTTTCAGTGACACATAGGCTCCTAAATGCTTACATTTTCTTTGAAATGAGACCTAGGCACTTTTTAAAATTTACTATTTTGACCCCAATATATTTAATTTGAGCAGGAAGGTGGTACATTATAGTTACTAGGAATATGTGGCAGAACGTCGTGTTATGTGAGTGGATGTTTATCATAACTCTGAACAATAATATTACAGTTCTTTCAAAAGTTTATAATTGATCAGATTTAATTTAGCTTTGAAATGTTACTATGCAGAAGAAAAATGCTGTATTTAATTATCTTAATTTAAATTAAACAAGCAAAACTAGTAAAGGACAATAAAACATTTCGGCATTATACTATCCATCCTAAAAATAAAGTGATGGCATCAAGAACTGTTGGCATTAAGCTAGTTCACAGCCAGTTGGCATTGAACAGCCAGCAATTTGAACAATTCTAAATTATTATAAATTCTGCAATAAGCAACTTTTCAAAATGTGTTAGGTGTATAACATACCTCTTCTGATTCATTTGTAGGTGTCTGGGAATCAGCGACCTCTTCAGCTACATATTCTTCCTGTTCTTCCATCCCTTGTTGATTATATGACTGTATATAATCTTCATCCTAAAATAATTATACAAGTTACAAGAGCCACTATATAAGAGTTCAGAACTATACGTGCATAGTTTATAGAAATTGAAAACACGCTTAAATCAAAATTTGGGCTATCACTAATTTTCTATCACACATGGTAGTTAATTTAGCAGGGTTTTTAAGATAGTAGTGTTAAAGCCACGACAGCTGACAACATTGTATTAATAACATTGCACAGCAATACAGATAATATGTAGTGATTCATCTCATGGCACAACATATGCCCCATTAAATATCAATAGTATGAGAATCAGGCTCTTATAATTTAAAAGATATGGAGGTAAATCTGGAATAGTTGCTTATCCAAAGTGCCATCTGCCCCGTGGAACTATAAATCCATCTTTATTTTAAAAGGGAAAAAAATAAAAGATTAATACTCTTTTAAAAAATATTCTACTAATTTTATACCATTATTATTCATTTGTATTTAAGTGATGCCTAAAAGGCACAAACAAGGATCAAGCACCTATTGCACTAGATGCTGTACAAACAAGAATAAAAAAAAAAAAAGCAAAAACTTCTGAATGTCTACGCAAATTTTATGCCAATTTTTTTCTTTTCAACTGTGATTATGTACTATATTTACTTGCAAGTATATTAGCACATGGTCTTCTGCATTCTGCTTAAAAGATATCAAATTATGCATGTGACATTTTCTGAACTAACCTCCAATCTCTTTATTCAGATTTAGACAGTTCTCAGTTACAAAAAGGATGAATGAGCAGGACATCAATCACTTTGGAATATTAGCACCTTAAAGATGTCTTTAGCAGGTCAATAATCTTTTCACCTTGGAAGGACTTTATCAGATCTTGTCTAAAGCCTGGATAAAAGCTTTTGCATTAAGTACTTCTAACAATTGGCAGTGTATCTCCACCACACAAAGCTGTTTTCTTCCTTAAGGATACAACCCTCAAGGTCATGGTTCTCAACTGCCTTCCAGACTGACAAAGGAGCATTACCTACCGCCAAACAAGCTGTCAACACAAACTTTGTCACAGCCTAGATAAAGAAACTGGCAGACAGTGATAATAGGTCTAATTTCCACCCCTCCCTAGGGAGGTAAATAGATTTCAAATCAGTCTAAAACCTATGCACGTGAAGCAATGTGATCTTTGGAGATATAATAGAAATAAACTCACTGCAAATTCATCTAGAGGTTCATTGATTTCAAGGTCTAGCACTTCATCATTGTAAATTTCTTCCTCTCCCTGTTCTTCCACATATTCTATTTGGTCTTCTGTCAGCTCAGCATCATTGCCTTCATACTGTCCTTCCTCTGTGTATTCTTGAGCATATACTTCAGGTTCATCCGATTTGTCATAAGCTATTTCATCCTCCCCTTGGTCGTATTCTGAATCATGTTCTATCGCATGCTCATTAGCATTCTCAGAGAATTCAAATGATGTAAGCATGCCAGATGTAGCATTAAGACTAACTGTGACACCTTGAGAACTGCAGTGGAAGGGTGAAAAAAGATCATATTGAAGTTGAAAGTATACCATTTAACTACATTTGTGATGATTTAATACAAAGGAACAGACAAGTACATGTACTTTAAGTTAGTGGTCAAAAATATAGCTCAAACACCAACTTGACTGCATGCCATAAACTCATAATGCATACTGTACCACAGCTTATCACCAGCTGCAGATTATTTGACCAGGGGAATCAAACCAACCAGATGGTCTAATGGGTCAGGCTGGCAGAAGTCCTGCACAGTAACCAAGCAGATTGCATTCAATTTTAAGTTCCAGACTAACAAAAATACAGTAAATGATTTCAATTGCATCTGCTTCTAATACCTCCAAATAAGTTACTAAATCATTGTTATTAATACAAATAGAAAATCAGCTGGAATTTAGGTTGTTGTATTTATTGCGGTAGATTTAATTTTCCATTCAGAAAAAAAAATACCATTTACACAATGAAGAACTATCTTTTAAAGGTGACCTGTGAAGGTTTAAAAAAATTCTTATGTTCGTTTGCATGAACCTAAAAACAACATTTAAGAAATCATTTGAAAACTTCAGATCCTTCTGATCAGCTACATCTAGAGTTTAAGTTTTCATGTTTGCTTTGCAACTGCAGATATCACAACCATCTAAAAACAGTTCATTTCCAACTCAAGGTTTGGAGAGAAAGTAGTAAAACCAGTTGATTCACAAATATGCTTTATATTGCATTTATCTAAAGTCCACCCTTACTGATTTGCCGAAAATTTTTCTTGGAAAATGCTTTTGGGGGGGGGGGTGCTTTACTTTTAATTGTTTTTCTTTTTACAATGTTACAACTCTAGAAGTCCTTTTAATAGGCACCTACTTTTGCAAAATTTAGGACCACAAAAGCCAGACAGATTTGTATGCTAGCTGTACACCAAGCTGGCCCCAGACTGGAGGACTTTGAAAGAAAGCAGGAAGGAAAAGCAGCAAAACCATTTACTCCATAGAGAACAATAATACCAGCTGCAGAAATGGATAAGTAATAGTTCATATAAATCAGGGTTTATCCACTTAAAATGATGCACCGGCATGCTTCAGTTAAGACACTGCATGCTGACAAGAAGGGCTCTCCACCTCCACTAGAAGTGGTCGCTACATAGATGGAAGAATTAGATTTTTCTCACCCCTGAACAACATAGTTATTCTAACTCAAATTTCCTGATGTAGACTGGCCTCAGTTTCCCTGCCCGTGGGTAGGTACTCTCCTCTTTCCTTTCGCCACCTGTACAGTCATATAGTTACACCTTGCTACACAGCACAAGAAAGCAAAGGTACCATGGGAGAGAAATAGAGAACATACACCCTAGTCTAGTGTATCAAAGGAAAACCCTGTTTCCGTTCTGATGGCTCTTTAGCTCAATTCTGCTGACAGAAGATCATCATGTGCCCAGATTGCTAGTCTGATGGAGGGAGTTTGACCCAACTTCTATAATTGCAATAGAGAAAGCTACCTGCTCTTCCTCCCTCCCCAGCCCATTATGGATTGCAGGTGGGAATACAATCTTAGGATAGGCACCACTTGGTCTCCTAGGGTACGTCTAGACTACATGCCTCTGTCGCCAGAGGTTTACCTGGGTGGTCGACAAATACCTTTGATGTCGGCAGGGGAGCGTCCAGACTATCGCGCTGAGCCGACAAACAGCTGATCAGCTGTTTGTCGGCTCAGCGCAGCAGCCATGTAAATTTAAATGAAGCGGCGATTATTTAAATCGCCGCTTCATTTTACTATGTCGGGTAGCCTAATCTACATGCCTCTGTCGCCAGAGGCATGTAGTCTAGACGTACCCCTAGAGTGAGCTTCTTCCAAGGTGTCAGATATTGTATTGGATCATGAGACCCCTTTATAGCCTGTACACTCATTCAGCTGACAGTGAGTTAGGGACACGCACCCTAACAGAATCATCTGTCTGGGAGTGACTGTTCAGCTCTCAAGCCTTTGTGCAAGTTTCAGTGCTGCATGGTACATGAAGGGATGCAATAACACAGCCCTTAATTCAAATTTCATGCACTTTGCAGCTATTCCCCCCAAGCACTCAGTTTAGGGGGTATATCTGGAACTCTGCAGGAGACAAGGCTTACCATGGTGCTTAGGGGAAGAGGGGAGAGAAGAACCAGGACCTGTGCCGATATCAATGATTTAAAAACAAAAAGACAGTTAACTGAAAGTTAAGATTGCATAGCTGAAATGTGTTCTAGCTCAAATGATATGCGTAAATAATGGGCTGAAAACAAAGCATAAGCAATAATGTTAGTCAGTTTTATAAACCACTGAAGTTATACAAGATTACAAGTGCTCTTAGCCATAAATATAATAGGAACATGTTTGATTTATACAAAAAATTCATGGCTATATCCTGATACAAGGGAAAGCAAAGTTTCAAGACAAATAACGCAGATACAGTTATACCTCCACAGTCAACCAGGGGAAGTCAATGCCAGCTCCTTTGCTGCAGAGCTTCACTTCAGCAGCAGGGCCAGCATTAAAAGAGTGAGGAGATGCACTCAGAGGAAGAGGCAAGGTGGCCACAGAGCCCTGCAGTTGCGAGCCAGAAGAGCAACTCTGTGGGAGCGTATTAAGCCCCACAGCTGCCAGGCTGTGCTCCAGCCACAAGCTCCACAGCCACCTAGCCTGACTCCACTCATCACTATTCCTCCCTCGAGCTATTTGTGGCACTACGAATGCTTGAAGTGCAGGGGAGGAGTTGCTGAGCACGGGGATCGGCTTTTCTCTATTGAGTGCTCACAAGGCTTCCCAACTGTAGAAGTCCAGACTATAGAGATCCAAACTGTACAACCTTATTCTAGATAACTGAAATTTTTGCATAGGATTACTTTTGATGAACAGATTTTACTATAACATTATTAATGCAATGATTACCTGAATATCTTGCATTTTTTATGCCTAATACTCCATTAAAAATGAATGAGAATATCTAGGATATCAGAGAGAAGGAGGACGAGATAATATCTTTTTATTGGACCAACTTCTGTTGGTGAAAGAGACAAGCTTCTGAGTTTGCACAACTCTTCTTCCAGTCCAAGAAAAAACTCAATGTCGACAGCTAAAGACAAGGTTAATTCCATATGCTTAAAAATCGGTTTAACACATGTTGAAAGAGATCATTAAGATAATGTGGACAGTTTAACCCCTTTGCAGTCATGGGACAAAGGAGGGGTAATGGGTTACAGGAAGCCTTCAAAAGATGAGCTTGGGAGCTTCAATTCATAACTTTGCTGGACACTAAAAATCATGGACTCCTATTTATCCTAGGAATGCAAATGTATTAGCTGTCCACTTCGCTTGAATTGTCTCTTGCAGCATATGGTAACTCTTTATGCTTAACAATCTGTTTCACCTGTATGTAGCTGGGACACTCCGGGACATGGGCCATACTGACAAAATGCCTTGTGTCGACCTTGCTGTGGAAAAGTTGTCACTTACATTGCCAGGAGCCAAATTTAAGTGTCTCTCTATGCCCATTTAGTGATATCACCTCCCTGAGCAATCTAGTATCACAGTTGACGGGATTAAGTTGATACAATGTGAACACAGACACAGCATTGCTTATGCTGAGTCTTACTGACCTTCAGGAGCTGTCCCACAATGCTCCACAATTGATACAAGTGCTCCTGGTTAGGACTTGCATGACCTATATAAGGAGCCATGCGCGTGCGCGCACACACACACCTAATTTAATAATTGTGGTGGCTCCATGCTGACGTGTGAAAAATTCTGTAGTGTACATCAGTGTTCCCTCGAAACTTCAGGCTTTGTGCATGGAGCTGACTGGACAGGGCTGATTAAACACTTGTGAAGCTGTGTTGCCGCGCAGCTTAGAGGGAACACTGGTGTAGACACGGTCTCTGTAACTTCCTTGAGCTCTGTGTAAGCTTGAAAGTTTGTCTTTCACGAACAGAAATTGGTCCAATAAAAGATATTACCTTGCCACCTTATTTCTCTAATAATGTATCTCTCATTAAGCAGCAACTCAGTGAAACTTTAATTAATCCATCAAATTTAGAAAACAAAGAACACATACCTGAAATGTTGTTCGTCTTCATTGTCACTCTGTAGAAGATCATCATTCAGTTCTTCATCTGACAAATCCGACTGATTCTAGATTATAACAAAAAAGTCATGAACATTTGTTGTTTTAAAACACGTCTCTTTGAAAGAAAAGTAAAAGGTTCTCTAAACACTACAACAAAACAATCTGGCCAGACAAATTTGATTGCTTTTTGAAAGAATTGTATAATCTTCTGATAAAAGAAATAATATAGAAAACAGCATATCTGAATTATAGTGAAACATTTGATGTAGCCTCTCATGAAAACTTGCAAAATTCATTTCAATTGTCTTATACTTCATCATTGCCAAAGGACTAAAAACTAGCTGAAGGACAAACTAAAGTCTAATGATCAACCAGCAATGTAATGAGTTGGAGGTGATGTTTAGAGGAGTATCAGATGGTTTGGTTTTAAATTGTCTCTTATAAACAGCTTTAATGAATTAATCCAGTAGCATGACTGAGGGTCAGAGTGACTACAGTTTCTTGAGGATACCAACTTGGGAGAGACAAATAACTGGAAAGGATCTAGCAAGGTTAGAAATATGGGCAAATTGGAAGGAGTTCAAAGAAGAGAAAAAAATTACACAGGAGTATGTGATTTTTCCTACCCTTCTCAGAACTGCTTCCAGTTTGTCAGCTATGCTACCAACTGTTTATTTAACTTTAACCAGTTATTAGCTAAAAGATCTAATTGTACATAGCATGGCTAAGTGACAGTATTCCCATACCCCCCACTTTTGTATAAAATAACCAGATCAGATTAAGAAACAAACCAATTTAGGCTTAATATCTGTGAAATAACTTCCTAAAAGATTTACTAGGCTGCTTAACAATATCCAACAGAAAGTGGTGAGAGTCCTGCCCTTGAAAATTTTACAATAAAGACTGCACAAAGCACTACTTCTGCAGCAAAAATTAAAATTGTGCACACAATACTTTAAAATTCTGCAAATTTTATTTGTCAAAGTAAGGCTATACAATCATGCTAGTTTCAATTATTTTGGTAATTTATTTCAAAATACCTGTTAGGAAGTACATCTTAACAATTCAGACACCAAAAAATTATCCCAGAAGTAGCGAGAATTATAGGAGCCCCTATAACAGTGGTCGTTGGTGTTGGCACTGCCAGTTGATCTTGACATAATGTTCCCCACCCCCCGCAACGAGGAGCCCACACTGGCACTACAGCCTCCCGCCCCTCGACAAACTGGAGCCAAAGTCAGTTTCCTGCTGGAGGGGGAGGGGGCAGAAGGAGGAGTCCTCCTGCAGCTCTGCACCAGATCCAGCTTTGCAGGAAGTGCATGTGCTTTTCCTCCACTCCCCACATCAACGTGCACGCTTTCTTGTCTTGCCTTCCTTCGTTCACCAGGGAGGCAGGGGAGAGGGTTAAGATGGCAGCAGAAGATCCAGAGTGGCTGGATTTCTTAAAGGAGTCGCATGTGTGCATCTTCCAGCGCTTCCTGCAGATCCTTCCCAAGAGATACTTGTCCCCAGACGCCCCCAGGTACCACCTAAGCTGCCCCCTCTCCCATGGCCAGACACCCAGCAGCACCCTGTTCCTGCCCCCTTCCTCCTAGCCAGACACCTACCCCTGTATCCTGCTTCCCACCCAGATTCTGCACCCCCATCCCTAGCCCACTCACTGTCACCTCTGTCCTGCACACTGGATCCCTCATTTTTGGCCCCACCCCAGAGCCGGGGGGAGGGAGAGTGTACAAAATCCACTAGCCCTGGAACCCCAGAAGAGTTAATCTGACCTGAGGCCTTGAACCTCAGTCCTACATACCCTCCTTCTGCCCCACCATAGGGCTGGAGCGCCAAGGGAGTGAGGTGTCTCAATTGGAGCCACATCAGTGAAGGTCGGGGTTTTTTGGAGGGGTTGGTTTTTTGCATCTCATTTGCGAGGTCCCCGACTGATTTTTCTGTGGGTCAGTGGCCTCCCGACCCACAAAATGTTTCCTGCCCCTCCCATAAATAAAGACAATGTTGAAACATTTTGTGTTGGATATAATATTTTATTTAAAAATGAAGCTTGGCCAACAAGCCCCCATCTGGCCGCAACATTGTAACATCCCTGCACCCCACACACACCCCAACCCTGAGCCTATCATACACCTGAACACCGTCATAAGCCCCCTGAATCTCCAGTCTTGTGCCACAACACTCTTGCACCACCCACACACCGCAAACCTGTGCTCTGAGCCCATCACACACCCAACCCCCACTGCCCAGAGTCCCTCATATACTCCAACCCAAACTCCTGCACCCTGATATCCACAAGTCTGCAGCTTGCTCAGCACACCAACCCTCCACCTGACCCCACAGACCAGACGGGTTCTTATAACTTACTATGGTCACCATTTTTCTCGTAGGGCTGCTCTTTCAGTATAAGATTCAAGAATGTTTTAATTAACCTTTTACTGTGGAAAATTTTGCAATAATTCTTTTTTATTCTTTGAATGTTCTATACTATTTTTGCCTTCACAAAAGGAATTATATAATTCTTGTTTGTGTGCATGAGGAATGTGTGTGCATGGGAGAAGATAGGCCTGAAAGCCATCGCTGCATCCAGATGGTCAAAGGAGGGGCCAGAGACCATCATATGTGCCCATTGTACTGGATTACTAATGAAGGACAAATCAACAACCTTGAAGGGAAAGCAATACCCCCGGAGGAAAAGATAACAAGATCTAACTAAAACCAGAATATGACAACACCAAGAAAGAATCAAGATGCTGATGCAGAATGACAATGAAAGCAGTCTTGAGATAAACATTTGTTGCAAAGTGACTGATTATTACATGATGCAGCAAAACTCAGATTTGTATGAGAAAGATATAAAAGATGGAGTGCCTTACCATTAGTCTTTGAGTTCCGTCCTACAAAGACTCAGAGCATATGATCACAACTAACAGAACCTGGCTCACCTCCTCTCCCTGAATCTAACTGGCAATTAGATAGGTTTGAGACACAGGCAACTATAAAAACATTAACAGGGTGCATCTGGGTGAGCTTGTGTGTTATATTCTAAATAAATGCAGTGTATTGCCTGTTCCCCTGAAAAGATCCTGTGTGCTTCTTATATGCATAACACTGAGACTGGTGAGCAAAACTGGGTGGGAGACCAGTAATTTCATTTCACAAAGGACGGGCTCTGTTCTGTTCTGATTCGGAATAAAAATAAAACGTTTCAAAATTCTCTGCAAAAGGGAATGAAGTCTTGGGGCAAGTCACCAAAGTAGAGGGCCATAAAGTCAGAAACAAAGGTACAGAGGAACTTAATCAAAATTCAACCATCTGTCAAGCATTTCAATTTTGACAAATCAGATTTTCTTTTCCACTGAAAGATGCTATCAGAATTTCTCCAACCACCTTTATTGTTTAGCTGATATAGGAAATACTGAAATATGTAGAAGTTTAAAATGTCCGCTATTGTTTGTGAAATCTTTCATAACAGCCGGCAAGAATTGTTTGAGGAGCCGTTTAGATTTTGGTATTTAAATTGATTTTAGCCAGATAAATAGGCTAAATCATTTATAAATGGTCAGGTAACATGACAGCATAAACTGTGAGTAAAATACAGGTTCACATTTAAAATTGCATGAATTATTCAGCATTCATTAAACATACTTATTTCTTACCTTTTTACCAGGAAGCAAATCTTCTCCAAGCAAATCATCTTCAAGTTCACTAAAAAACATAAGCAAATATTAAGAGTACACACATACTAACACACATTTAGAAAAAAATCTGTAATAATTATTCAATACAGTAACTTCAATATTGGTCAAAGGAGAATTGTTACTGAATTCACAATGCTTTTTAATTGATAAAATATACAGAACAGTAATGTGTCAACTCAGGAAAGAGCTATACATTATGCAAGGGATAGGCACTAAATTTATATATTAAGGAAGGCTGGATTGTTTTCAAGATGTTGGCAGTAGGGATGTAATAGTATAGACGATTAACTAGTTAACCGATAAGCAAAAGTTTATAGGTTTATACTATAGACTAGACAACACGCATTCTTCCTACCCCTCTTGTCAGTAATTTTTTTAACAGGCTGACCAGCGGCCCAGCTCAGTCCAGGCTTGTGCTGGGTTTGGGTCCTATCCCCACTGCGGCTCTGCATTTAAAGAGCATTAGGAGCCAGGCGGGCAGGTAGCCCAACTCTGTGGCATTTAATTTCAGAAAGGGAAACTAACTAACTTCCTCATTTTTGTATAAACAGAAATTAAAAGGTACAGTGAGACAAAATTAAAGTCTCTGCAAGCTTCATGGAAACTTTTCAAAGACACCGTAATAGAGGCCCAACTTAAATATATACCACAAATTAAAAGGCACAGAAAGAGAACCAAAAAAGTGCCACCATGGCTTAACAACCAGGTAAAAGAAGCAGTAACAGATAAAAAGATCTCTTTTAAAAAGTGGAAGTGAAATCCTAGTGAGAAAAATAAAAAGGACTTTGTCAAATTAAGTGTAAAAATATAAGAAAAGCCAAAAAGGAGTTTGAACAGCAGCTAGCCAAAAACTCAAAAAGGAATAGTAAAATGTTTTTAAAGTACATCAGAAGCAAGAAGCCAGCTAAACAACCAGCAGGGCCCTTGGACAATCGAGATGCTAAAGGAGCACTCAAAGATGATAAAGTCAAAACAGAGGAGCTAAATTAATTCTTTGCTTCAGTCGTCACGACTGAGGATATTGGGGAGATTCCCAAACCTGAACCATTCTTTTTAGGTAACAAATCTGAGAAATTGTTCCAGATTGAGGTGTCATTAGAGGAGGTTTAGGAACAAAGTGATAAACTTAATAGTAACAAGTCACTGGGACAAGATGGCATTCACCCAAGTGTTCTAAAAGAACTCAAATGGGAAACTGCAGAACTATTAACTGTGGTTTGTAAGCTATCCTTTAAATCAGCTTCTGTACCTAATGATTGGAAGATAGCTAATATGACGCCAATATTTTAAAAAGGGCTCTAGAGCTGATCCCAGCAATTACAGACCGGTAAGTCTAACATCAGTACCGGGTAAAATAGCTGAAACTAGTTGAAACTATAGTGAAGAATAAAATTGTCAGACACATGGATGAATATAGTTTGTTGGGGGAAAGTTAACATGGTTTCTGTAAAGGGAAATCATGCCTTACTAATCTGCTAGAGTTCTCTGAGGGTGTCAACAAACATGTGGACAAGGGGATACAGTGGATATAGTATAGATTTCCAGAAAGCCTTTGACAAGGTTCCTCACCAAAGGCTCTTAAGTGAAGTAAGTTGCCATGGGATAAGAGGGAAGATCCTTTCATGGACTGATGACTGGTTAAAAGACAGGAAACAAAGGGTAGGAATAAATGGTAAGTTTTCTGAGTGGAGAGAGGTATTTTTTGGCGGGTGGGTCCCCCAAGGGTCTGTCCTGGGACCCATCCTGTTCAACTTATTTATAAATGTTCTAGAGAAAGGGGTAAACAGTGATGTGGCAAAATTTGTAGAGGATACCAAACTGCTCAAGACAGTTAAGACCAAAGCAGACTAAAGAGCTTCAAAAAGATCTCACCAAACTAAGTGATTGGACAACAAAATGGCAAATGAAATTTAATGATAAATGTAAAGTAATGCATATTGGAAAAAATAATTCCAACTATATCCACACACACACACACACACACCCCCATGATGGAGACTAATTTGGCTACAACTACTCAAGAGAGAGATCTTGGGAGTCATTGTGGATAGTTCTCTGAAAACGTCCACTCAGTTTGCAGCGGCAGTCGAAAAAGCAAACAAAATATTAGGAGTCAATAAAAAAAGGGAGAGAGAATAAGACAGAAAATATTTTATTGTCTCTATATAAAGCCATGATACGCCCACATGTTGAATACTGCATACAGATGTATGTTTTGGTTTTTTTTAAATGTATGGCATTGGAAACGCTTCAGAAAAGGGCAACAAAAATTATTAGGGGTTTGGAACGGGTCCCATATGAAGAGAAATTAAAAAGACTTGTACTTTTCAGCTTAGATAAGAGGAGACTAAGGGGGGATATGATAGAGGTATATAAAATCATGACTGGTATGGAAAAAGCAAATAAGGAAAAGTTATTTACTTATTCCCACAATAAAAGAACGAGGTCACCAAATCAAATTAATAGGCAGCAGATTTAAAAAAAACAGAAGGAAGTTTTTCTTCACTCAGCGCAGTCAACCTGTAGAACTCCTTGACAGAGGATGTGGTGAAGGCTAGAACTTTAAGAGGATTAAGAAAAGAGCTAGATAGATTCATGGAGGTTAGGTCCATCAATAGCTATTAGCCAGAATGGGTAGGAATGGTGTTCCTAGCCTCTGTTTCTCTGGAGGTGGATGACGGGAGGGTTCACATGAGGATTACCTGTTGTGATCCTTCTCTCTGGGCCATCTGGTATTGGCCACTGTGGGCAGACAGGATATTGGGCTACAAGGACCTTTGGGCTGACCTAGTATGGCCGTTCTTATGTTAACAGTGAGGACTGGGGAACCGGCGTGCAGGCAGGCTGGCTCAGTCCTAGCATCCCAGCTTCTCAGCCCCTTATTAATGCAGAGTTGCAGTGGAGGTTGATGCCGGGAATTGAACCAGCTTGCCTGTGAGCCGGCTCCCCAGCCCGTAATAATGCAGAGCCACAGTGAGGTTAATGCTAGGACCCAGCATGAGCCCAGGACTGAGCCAGCCTGTTGGCCAGCCCACTAACAAATGTACTTGCAGAAAAATGGAGGGGGGAAGGCAATTGCATGTAGCTGACAGCATTAACCAATAAGCATCTGCTTACTGGTTATTCATTTAATCGACTACACTACTGCATCCCTAAAAGGAGCTAATATTCCTGGTAGCCCATTAGGCCCAGTATGTATAGCTGAAGAGTGAGAAGAACGTACATTTGGTGGATAAGAGGAATGCTGGGTAAAAAGACTCCTCCCCTTTGAAGAGATTTCTTCAAAACTGTTGAGACTGTTTAAATTTTTTTTCTTATTCCAATCCCTTCACTTCATAGGCCTGATCTACACTACAAAGTTAGGTCAACATATGCTGCCTGTGTTTACATCTAGGGATGTTAATGTGTCCTCATGTACAAGCTTAACTAATAAGCCAGGGCTCATCAGTTAACCTGCACTGTTACATGCACCATCCCCCCACCACCTGCTGCCTCCCACAGTGGCAGCGGAGCAGGGAAAAGAGGGTAGCAGGAAGTTGGTGCTTGGGAGAAGCCAGCTTTCAAGCCAGCTCCCTGCGTGTATCGGCTCCCAAGGAGCTGCCTGCCCTCTGCACTGCTGCCTCTGTATCAGAGGCAGAAGTAGGGCAGGAGAGGGAGGAGGTAGAAACCAGGCTACCTGCGAGCAGCAGCTCTCTCTTGCCCCCCTGCGTACAAACATGTAACTGCTGAAAAATTGAGTGGTTACAGATTTACAAAAATAAATGCATTTTAAAATCCCTAATCCTGATTGAGGACATGCACTGTCCACAGAAAGAGTATTGCGTGGACAGGAAAAACCAATTTAATCACTGTAGCGACTAAGTCAAGGTAACTTAATTTGATCTAATGTGTAGGGTAGACTTGCTCCTAGCCTCTCCATAAATAAATTCTGGGTTGCACCCAAAGAACCATTTTGTATGTGGTGAGAAACTTCAGGGCCCTTGCTAAGGATTTACCCAGATATTTCTGATGGCATATAAAACAAGGGTGAGACAGTAACATGCGGTTCCCAAAATACAACAGGGGGGAACTGAAGTTCCCATTCTGCAAGTGTTAACATTAGGACCTGCAAGCTCAGATTCAGAAGGTTACATAAAGGAGTCAGAATATGCCTTAGTGTTGAGGAATACAACTAACCTTTTGATGTAAGGCAGGCAGAGTTTGGAGAGAGACAACTTGGCACTTTTTTTAACCTCCTTGCACAAAACAAAATCAGTAACATCCCATAAACTACAGCAAACTACAGCAAATTAAGTTTAATATATATAAACAGGGATGTAACTAAGGATGTTCAACAACCAAAGCAGAAAATTCATCTTAATGTTTAATCAAATCCAGAGTGAAATGGTTAAGCACTTGCTGTTGCTTTGAAACACCACATGCAGCCCAGGGCTAGCTGGGGATCAGCTGATCCCGGGCTCCACAAGGCGCTGCAGCACTGAAATGCCACAAGGAGCCTGACGCCGGACTCTCTGGAGGGTTTCAAAGTGGCAGTGCTGCACAGGGACAGTGGGGGACTAACCCACTGTCCCCGTGTTCCTCGCCGTTCTTTCGCCTTTGAAGTGTAGCAACAGCTCTGGGGCTGTTGCTACACTTCAAAGCCGGAGGCGCCCTTATTTACTAATTAAATAGTCTATGCAAATTGCATCAACTATTCAATTAGTCAATTAATCTAAAGGTAACATCCGTAGTAAGGTGAGCTAAGAATTCAAAAAGTGCTTCACAGATGGGGAACGGGCTTCAGCCAAGTAGCAACCTAAAGAGGTGGAAGCCATCGGGTTGACCACTGAAGATGATTACAACAAGGGATGGAAATGGTTAATCAATAAGCCTCACCAAACAGGTGAGACTTATCGGTTCTGGTTAACTTGTAGGGGCTGGAACTGTTTTCCTATTCGGTCCAGACAGGAGACTTATCTATTCCAAAGGTGCCCATCCCTCCCACTGGAGTTATATGCTGGTTGCAGAGCCTGCAGCGAAGCCTCCCCAGGAGTAGGGCAAGCAGTCCCTGCTATCCCTACTCCTGGGGAGGTTTCACTGCAGGTTCTGCAGGATAACTTATTTAAGCTTTATAATACAGAGCCCGCAACTAGCGGTTACACAGTTACATTGTAAAATGAATTTTTACATTCTTAATCAAAAGTAATAGAGGTGATACATGGGAAGGAGAATGGTATATGGGGGGGGCATATGTTCCCTCTGAATGCAGTCACGTGGTGCTGCTGGAGCCCTTCCCTGTGAGGCAGCTGAGCCAGTTAACTCAGGGACAAGGAAAGGCAGAGGCAGGAGGAACTGCTGTAAGCTGCAGAGAGTGCCTGCTGCTTTCCATGAGGGGGGCAACTTGAGCTGTTCCACAGTTGTGCTCCACACTCCACCTACCACCAGACATCTATGGAAAATAGAATACTTTTTCTTCTGTTTAAGAGGTTAGAAGAACAGGTTACAAAATGCAGCACTTGAAAGTTAAAAATTGCCAGATTTACAGGTGCCTGCACAACCTTGATTCTGCCCTCTGGTGCACCAATCCTGTGCACTGAATCAATAAGGCAAGTGTCTTGGTGAATAAAACATATCATGTAGCTACAGATTACAGCCACATGTACACCTAAGTGCACAGAATTATGGGTGTTCAATATGGCATTTCCTAACCTATGCTTGCTTAAACTAAACAGTACCACCTTAATAACATTTTCTTTACATAGTTTTATGAGTGTAATTCACCAGAGTGTTGTGGGGTGTTTTTTTTTTTTTTTTAAAGAAAACAAATTTTATTAAGTGCTACAGTGATAGTTCCCTTCCCTGCATTATGAATTAGCAGTTATGAATTAGCAGTGTTTGAAACCTGAATCTTCAGCACAGTAGCATAAACTGCTACTTTAGGTCACTACCTCTCCCTTTGTAATAAAATATTTCACAAAAAAATAATTGCACCAAGTATATTGTGTCTGTTCACCTTATTAGTTTGATATTTTTCTTAAATAAAAGGTTAAGATTTTTGTCATTTATTTTTAGCAGAAGTCAGACAGGTTACAGACAAACAAAAACTCATGGGAGCTCTTGACGTGCCAATAACTTAAATAAAAATAACCAGAAACAGGAGGTCTGGAGGAGCGGAGGAGGAATGGCAGCTGGAGCCCCATGGGGGGCAGGGACTAATAGTGTGAGGCCCACTGCTACTGGAAGGGATGGACTAAAGGAATGCTTGGCCCCAGCCCCAGCTTCAGCCCCTGACAACTGAAGCTGAAGAAGTCACGGTGGTCTGGTAAAGTCACAGAATCCATGACTGCCTTGACCTCTATGACTAATAGTATCTTTAATCTTGAATTGTAAGGACCTGGTAGTATTTACAGTAAAAAAAACAAAAAAAAAAAGTACAATTTGTATGAATACAACAGAACACAATTTTACTGTCCAAATAATTCTGGCAAGTTACTCTTTCACATGATTAAAATATAATGTGAAACAAAACCAATTCAAAAAACACAATGAAGAAACTATCTACAATCATGTAAAGAAAGTGATCAGCTCTCCTCAAAACCTGAGCCATCATACGCCTTAACTCCTTACTAAATAACTTAGTTTCCCCATTTCTTTAAGAAAAAAGCTTCATTTTAAGTAGAGTTTTACCATAACAAGAGGTTCACGGCACAGTGGCCTCATTTTCACAACAATAGCAGCATGATACTACTTAAAATTCTGTAGTTACAATGGTAGTTGTAGGGTGGGATAGGAAGGAATGCTGGCCAATCTCTAGAAGGTCAACTCTTCACTCTCAATGTCAACTGTAGTGAAAATAAACCACATCTTCTCACTATCTACTGGGAGCACAGACAGCAAAACAGGAACTTTGGATTTCTACTCATTTCTCTCTCAAGGCTGTGACAACTCCCCTCCTTCCTCTGCTGAGCAATAGCAGAAGGGGAGACAATTATTTTGGAAGGCAAATAAAAGTCAGCAGGTGACAACTGCTGCAATTCCAGAGCATCAGCTCAAAGGAAACTGCTTAACTTGGTGTATACAACCAAATTAGGTCAACGTAAACTGCCTTGTGTCAACCTAGTTGTTGTGCATATGGTCTACATCAGCCAGACTCTGTCTGCCCCGTCCTAGCACGTGGCCCAAAGCAGCTCACCAAGCCCGCAGCATTCAGAGAGAAGCTTTACACGCTGCCTCCACCCCCAGCACAATCTTGCAACTACTACCACTAGCTAGAAATTAGACAGAAGGAGCTGCCAGTTCATAGGACAGGTAGTACATGAAGTACCCCTACCCATCCAGGCTCTCGGTGTTCAGAGCTGCACATGGCCCCTGCAACCAGTACAAGGGCATGGAAGGCACGAATCCTGTCTGAGGAACCTGCTAGACTGACGATTGGAAGCCACACGGGTATGCATCTCTTGGCCAGAGCCTGCCTCTGAGACCCCAGCCACTCCCCTGTCACCCCATTCCTAAACCCCTATTCCCTGTATTCCCGTCCCAAGTCACAACCCCCTTCCAGATCCCACACCCTTCCAACACTCCTCCTCCAGACCTCAACCCCTTCTCTGACCTTGCACCCTGATTCCCTACTCCCAGTCATAACCCAGATCCCTGCCCCAGGTCACAACTCCCTCCCAGATCCTGCACTCCCTTCTGCACCCCAGTCTCCTGCCCCAGGTCATAAACCTCCTCCTTCACCCAAACTCCTTCCCAGATCCCACACCTCCTCCTGCACCTCAATTCCTTACCCCAAGCTCTGCACCCAACCTCCATCACAGACCCAGCACCTCCTCCATTAACACCATGGAAGAATGCAGCTCATGACTACATACCATATTCTTGGAGTGGCCTCCCGGTCTATACTTAAATATCTACCACCAATAGAATCTCTCCATTACACTGACATAATACCACCACCTCCCTGTACAGTGTTGAGACATGGTTAACGAACGGGGCTTGATGTAATATAAACATAGACACTGCATTACCTACATCAAGCTGAACGCTCCTCCAGCATCTGTTCCACAATGTCCAACACTTACCGCTCTGGTCACAAAATGTTAACACCACCGCCCAGGAGTTAGAAACTAGAAGCTACATCCGCACCCTTTTAAAAGGCTGCAAATTTTTGAAATGCCTTTTTCCAATTGTCCATCTTGGCAAGCACACCTAGCAACTTTCCACTTGTGTGTGCAACTGCCCAGGTGGCTCCATGTTCCAGATTAGAGTACACAGGAAATTCTAGATCTCCTGGATCTGTGGGGAGAAAAGGCTGTGAAAGCACAGCTATAGACTAGCAATAGAAACATGAACATCTGTGAGACTATTGCAAAGAAGGTACAGGCAGGATCAGCAGCAATGTCATATGAAAGCAAAGGAACTGCAGCAGGCACATGAGAAGGACAGGAAGGTCTAGGGATGTAAGTGACTAATCGACTAGTCAGCTATCCGATAAGCAAAAGCTTACTGGACAGTTGACTAGTCGCTTTCCCCCCTTGCTGCCTCTATCACAAAGAGGTGGGGGGGTGGGAAGAGGAGAGAGTGCTGGAGGGAGTTGACTTAAAAACTGGTTCCCCCGCTCCAGCTCTGTGGGAGGGGGCAGAGGCACAGCGGTGGAACTCCATCTTTGAAATGTACAAGAGTCCCTGCTGGGGCTCTTGTACATTTCAAAGGGGAATACGCTAGCCCTTAACTAATTGAATAGGCGATGAAAATTCCATCAACTACTCGTTTAGTTCATTAATCAAAATTTAACATCCCTAGGAAGGTCAACAGTCAATTAAATGCAGAGCCACAGACCTGCCACTTTTACAAAGAGTTGCGCGCAATACTTGGGGGAAGACTCAATCACCACTTCATGTACCACTATGGATAACCCTATGAAAAAGCCTGAATAACATGTCCCTGACATGAATATGGAGCAAGTAGAGAAAAAGGATGGGGGACGTTCAACCAGAGGGTCAAACTATGCCATGTGATAGGACCTGTTTAAGACTGCAGTCCAGTCGACCATAGGTAAGCCCCATGAAGAGGAATGCACCTTGCATAAATTTGTTTCCCCCACAGCGATGGCACCCCCAACTTTTTATATCTATGTAGGGTTATGCTGTGTCTGGGGGACATGAAGAACAGTTTATTTCTCCAGGGGATGTCTTTTGAATCTTCCTGAGAGATCTTAATGAAACTTCTATGTGGGTATATGGCAATCTTCTCCCAAAGGTTTCTAAGTAGGGCTGCCTTATTTCTTCTCACATTCCCATGCCAGTCAGCAATACCTTCAAATGACAACAAAGCAGTGCACAGCGGCAACATACAGGCCCAGGTGGCTTCAGGACTCCTGATCAGTTGTGTGCTCTGTGCCTTCATTACCCTTGTAAGAATGGCCATTCTGGGTAAGACCAAAGGTCCATCTAGCCCAGGATTGTGTCTTCTACAGTGACCAATGCCCCCAACAGAGTGAAGAGAACAGGTAATCATCAAGTGACAGACAACGCACACATTCCTATTTTGGTACTAGACCACCTGGCCATAAGTACATCAACAGTATCAGAATGCAAAATGCCACTCCAAAAACTCAAACAATGTAGTTCAATGTCTGAATGTGAAAAACAACTACCTGTCCCAGTCATCATCTCCAGTTCTTCTTCTCCAAGATCTTTCTGCACCAGGTTTATCAAATTGATCAAAGTCATCATCTGTAAAAGCAAAATACTATATTAGATAGTTCTTACTAGAATATTCAGGAGAAACAAAATTTTTCCAATCCTGAAGCAATTATTGTTCTCTTTAGGAATTACTGTCCTACTCTTTTTGGTTTTACAGTTTTTCTCTAGTATTTGTTAAATTCAAAAAGTTAAGCTATACCTTGGTCTTACTAAGTAAGCAGTAGCAAGATGTAGATGTCTTGTTGCTGATGGAGGTGAGGCTGCAATGTGGAGAAACTGAATGTAGAAAAGGATGCTAGCACATCGTTTAAGAAGTTTACAAAAGGGTAGGCCACAAGCAAAAAGTAAGCTACGTCTGCAGAGAAACCAAATTTCAGATGGTAAAAAAGTGTTTAACTAGACTTAACCAATCAGCGCAACTTGGGTTTTTTTATGAGGAAATATTTTACTTTAAGTACATTTGCCAAATTGTCACTGATATCAGTTTTTGAGACTGTTTGCAAGCAAATATATACTCAAAATAGATTAGGGCTGTAAGCAACTAATAGAGTAGTTGACTACCCGATAAGCCTAGGCTTATCAGGTAGGGAAGTCACTACTGGACTAGCAAGTGAAGCAGCAAAGCGGGGAGATCAGAGAAGCCAGTTCCCCCCAGCACCGTCCCTGTGGCGGGGGGAGGGGGGACCCGGCCAGGGAGCCAGAGACACAGTGGGGGACCAGGCATACTAGAATTTTGGATTAACATGTTTGATGTTTTAATGGCTTCTATAAGACAATAGCTGCCAATACTTTAATCAGAAAAATGATTATGCAGAAAGTGCAATTATTTTTCTCTTAAGAAAAGGGATACCAATTAAATCCAATCTCCGAATAATTTTTGATGGTTTGTTTTGAAATAGGGATGTAAATGACTAGTTGAGTGACTACATAACAACACGCTTACCCCCACTGCTGCCTCTATATCAGATGCAGCAAAAAAAAGGGGGGGAGGGAGAAGCAGGAGCCAGTGCAAACATCGTGCGGGGGGAGGGAGGAGAAGAGAGGCAGAGCTGCAGTGGTCCTGGAGCCAGCACCAGCTGGGAGTGTTCAATCCTGACTGGCACCATCCCTGGGAACTAACCCCGCTGCAGCGGTATACTTTAAATGTAAGAGCCCGGTGTCTCTTACTATATTTAAAATGCAGAGCCGCAGTGGTCGTAGTGAGTGCCCCCCCATCAACTAATTGAGTAGTTGACGGAAATTCCGTCGACTGCTTAAGTAGCTTATTAACCATTACTTAGCATCCCTACTTTGAAATAAGTTTTTTTTTTTTTTTTTTTTTTTTTAAACCAGACACCTTTTCAATTTCCACCAAGGATTCTTTGTGTGTTCAGTTTCTCTAGTCCAACTCTGTATCCTCCTGTGACAATTGCCAAACCTAGTTGTTCTGTCTAATTTAAATGCAGATTTAATTGATGACACTCATAGAAATCCCAAGTTAAGCATAAAAACTAAAAACTCAGCTAGGGCAGTCATCTCTAGTACAACAGTTTTTCAACTAAAAAGTGAAGTCATTATGTACACATGCCATTAACATTATTTGCAATAGCTTCTCAACCAATGAAAATCAAGTGATTCCAAACAAAGCTGGTCATAAGGTATAAAAAACAATTCCTTCTGCCCAGATTTTTTTCACCAACAAAACAATACAAATTAGTAATCTAACTATTAGCAGGGCTCAACAAATAATGCAGTCTACTCACCCATGGCGAGTAGATTGCAACCCGGAAGAGCCAGGTTCGGATGATCTGCGCATGCGCAGATCGCCAGACAGCGTGGCTGACGAGCCCTGCCTATTAGTATAGCACTCCACATCCAAGCAGTATCAAAATTTTAATACTTCTTCCTCTACAATATCCAAGATCCAACTTTTTCACTGCTGGCATGACTAAAATGCTTACCCGGGACGTCACATCATCTTGTTTATAGACCACTAAAACTCCTCCTTTCCAGCCTTATTAAATGCCATCTTAGCCCCCTTATAGTCTAACACTACTTCAGAAACTATCTTCTAGGTTTAGCGTGCCAATTATCTCATCACTCTTCAATTTCCCCTGCTCCACCGTATACACACAGGCATGGTCTACACCAAGTTTTTATACCAATATAACTATATTAGTTGGGCTGTGATTTTTACCAACAATTTTACTAGTACCACCTCTAACGAGGGCATGTTATACTAATAAAAGGTGCCTTATGCCAGTAAAGCTTAGTCTGTACAAGAATGGGAATGGTCTATACTGGTATAATCAGAGCTCGACAAAATATGTAATCTACTCGCCCGGGGCAAGTAGATTGCAAGCCGTAAAGCCAGCGCAGCCCGGTCTGCGCGTGTGCAGACTGCAAAACCGCGCAGCTGACAAGCAGGGCTTGCCACTGCTTGGCAAGCCCTAGGTATAATTATGCCCACCTAGAGGGAACTGTTAAAGCAATACAACAAACTCGTGTGTGTAGATAAATTCTCTGGCTCTTCAGGGCTTAACGTCATCCTATTTATTTCTTATTTCTTATATGGTATGTTCAGCCTTGTCCACACTAGAAAAGGTTCAGCTACACTGATAAAGCCTCTCCTATTATAGATGCAGCTTTAATAAGAAAAAAAAAGTGCTTTTGCCAGCATTGTTTATACCGAACAAAGTTATGCCAGTATAAAAGTGGTATAAGAACCTACAACAGGATTTTTCTGGCATATGTGCGGCACGAAAGCAACACCTCCCTAATCAACATTATTATTCCGGTAAGAGTTTCTACTGTAGACTGGTCTTCCACTCTACCAACACCGCCAGCCCTTTATTATCCATCAGTTCCCTCTTTTACTTATGAGCATCCCCAAACACCTTTGTATTTTCTCCCATACCATTCCCCTTATCAATGACAGGAATTCCTTGTAAAGTTCCACAAAGCTACATTATCCTTTTTCATATTTCTCATTGAAGTCACCTCTGTCGTGATTCCTATAAAAGACACAATGGGTAGACAAGCAGTGTGCTGTGACCACTGCTTATTACAAGAATCATAACTCTCGCACTTATCTTGAGTCACCCATGTGTCTGTCAAATTGTTGCCTCTCATCATGGATTTAGAATGTAAGCTCTTTGGGGCACAGGGACCACCCTTTCATTTTTTGTACTTTGCCTCGCATAATAAAAATAAAGATCAAATCGAAAGCTTTTGATTCACTGTCTGATCAGCATTATTTGGTATGGGGAATGGCAAGTTGCAATGAAGCATAATTTTTTCATTTTTTAAGCAACAAATATTCTTCGGGAGTTTTTTATGCATTTATATCAAGAATTAACAATGCAACCAAAAGTAAATGAACAAAACTTTAAACTTTACACAAAGCATGTGGATGATGCTTCCAGAGAAATTCTTACGATGCAGTTCATGTTAACATAAAGCATGATTACATACTCATAAAATATAGCATGTAAGGGGAAGGCGGTGGAAAAACTCCCCAGCATCAGCAGTACCACAAAGGAGGAACAGTTAGACTGACAAGGTGAGGGAGGGAATATCTTTTACTGGACCAATTTCTGTTTGAGAGAGAAACATGCTTTCAAGACACACATAGCTCTTCTTCACACCCAGGAAAGGTAATCCAAGTGTCACAGCAAAATGCAAGGCAGAATGGATTGTTTAGCAAAAGTAGTATATATTGTAAGGGATCATTCAAAGTAGTGTAAGACTGACAGCCAAACATTTTCCACAACTCTCAGCAGAAAGAATTCACACACGAAAAATAAATCCCAACCTGCCAGGAAACTATAATACTTGCTGCAAAAGTGGCCGACACTAGCCCACATTCATGCCCATGTCTCTCCCACAGCATACAATAATTTTGTTGACTTACTATCTCCTTCCCATCTCACCACCCTATATATTATCAGATATTTGATGCAAGGCATGCACACGCAAACACACACACACACCCCCACCAGCTGGGTACTGTAAGACCCTAAAAGATACTCATTGATGGCAAAGGCACCCTTAACTTTCACAGGTGGCACAGGAAGAAAACAAGAAAGTTTGTGGGCTAAAAGACTCCAGGATTCTCCAACTGCAGGGTAAACTTAAGGGACATCAGTGAAAAAGATGATCCATTATTTGGTTCTGTATCACAATGATATAATAAAGGCAACCCTGCTATCAAAGAAAGAAGTCACTGCAAAAAAGCACATATACTGCCTGAAAGTCAGCCATTTTGCTAAACAAGTTTGGCCTCCATCTGCAACTGGTGATCTATCCCTTAACAAGTATTAGGGTTTCTTAACATATTAGGTTCACTTTACTCAATATTTTCCATTGCATTATATTTCTCCTTTATAATGGAAGCACTGTTGCAGTGTATGACAAATATATTTTCATAATTTGGAAGTTTGATTTTTTTCTGATACTGAGTTTTGTATGGCAGATGCACACAAGTATAATCCTGATTAAAAGGTTCAGCAAATCAAAGATTTTCTGAGGATAAACTTCCATAGGACAAGGAGATCTTATTTTTCTTTTTATGTCTACTAGCACCTTTTTAAAACCTGCACTAAATACATAAGGTCTTGTATCCTCGTTTACAAAAAATTGCGCTTTAAAGATCCCAGGAGGATGATAGATGAATTAGATGGAAGATTGCATAGCAGTGTTCATATAACACTTCCTACGTAGACTAAGTAAAACCTTATTCAATATACTTATGATGAAGTGTCCAAGTATTTCACTTGTATAAGACAGCTAAAACCTCTCATCAAAGCAAAACATTTGATGCTACCATTCTCCCTTACTCCTGGAGGCTTGCAGAGTATGAAAGCTGCATGTTTTCAGCAAGGATAAAAATAAAAATTGATTATTTCAACTGGGATTTTTAATTTAAACCAAATATATTATTTTAAATAAACTTAAGTAAGCTAATTCAATTTGAAATTATGACAGCCTAATTTAATGCCTAAATTTACAAAATATTACAATAATTTAAATTAATTAAAAAATATTAAGAA